CCTAAATGCATTGAAGCAACTGCCATGTGATTGGTTGATTAGATAATTGCATTAATGAGAAATTGAACAGGTGTTTCTAATAATCCTTTAGGTGAGTGTAAATATATGCGCACACACACATAATATTACTTATATTTACTAGTTCAAGACCTTCATTTGTTCATCTGATCAGTCATTTTCCCTCAGTTAAAAAAAAATAAATGTAAGGTGCAGGATTAAATGAGCGTAATCAGTAGTGTAGTCATTAAAAAGAAGAAAAATTAACTCACGTTTCAAAGCACCTGTCCACATTATCAGACATAAGCAGCAGCATGCAGAGCTGTTCCAGAGCAATCAGCTGCATGTCCCTCTCATCCCCCTGGCCCATCTGGAGCCACTCCAGCAAGGTGTCCGGGTCCACGTCTGCCATGCTGACTGGCTGTACTCCAAATCTGGCTAAAGTCTAATCACAGCTCAAGCTGGGGACAAAAAAATCAAGACATTCACTGGTTCTCTTGCAGTGTCATGTAGACAATACCTAGGAAAAAGAAAATGAAAAGGTCAAACACATTAAAAAATAAATGTAAAAAAAATAGCTAGTTAAACACAGTTAGAACACACAGACCGGTATGACTAACCATGGCTACAACTTAATTTAAATTCAAAGAAAATAAAATATACATATACATAATTGTCTTGGAACCCTTTTGCTTACTATGACAATGCCACATTTCTCATCCAAAAATAACTACACTTTAAAACCAAAGTACTAACATGGCACACTTCTGTGTAAATTGATTAGTTGGATTAATTTGAAAAGACTGGCATGCTGTCTTCATCCTATGTTCCACCTTTATACCAACAGTATGCTCTGTTTTAAACCTTTAGAGAGATTTTTACGATGTTCTGGAAAATAAGACTCAAAACAAATATAAATTTTCCATATACAGTAAAACCGGTCTAAGTCGACACTCGCAGGACCAGCTTAAAAGTGACGACTTAGAGAATTGACGAGATACACCTAAGTCGACACTTCGGCGACTTATGTCTATCTCGTCGTTTTGCCGACTAGTAAATATAACACCATACCTCTACTACACCGCACTATACACGAGAGACTTAAGACCAGGGAGCGACTAGTGCTATAGGTGGGGATTCCCCGTTTCTACATTGCCGTGGTGACAAGCAGGCGGCGGGAATGCAGCGATTGGGGTGTCGACTTACAGGTAGGAAAATCCATTCATTTGTGTTGTTCGGGACCGGGATTTAGGTGACGACTAAGGGAATTTGACGACTTATAAGCGGCGAGTTACACAAGGAATTTTAAAGGAAACATCATTAGGAAAAATCGGGACTTTTGCTTGAGCGTCGACTTGTGCGCATTGACGAGTTACAAGCCAGCGACTTAGACCAGTTTTACTGTAGTTCTAAACACAGACATCTGGTGTACTCTGATATAGTATACTGTTGCTTAAGGCACATAAAATTGCATTAGCTTTGTTTTCTATTGTCAACCTGTACCAAACACATCATAAAAGGTAGTTATTCTATTACAATCTTTGGAAAGACATATTGCGAGGCTTTCAGCCACACCATACCATGAAGCATGAAAATTCAGTGACCATTGTAAAGTAAGTCAGGTTTTCTTGAACAGTTTGTGTCACACATGGCACAGTAAAATTAAACTGCAATGCTTAAAATGAAGGAATTTAGTAAATACTGTCAAACTAACAATTTATGGGTAATACTGGTATCTGATTCCCCTGCAGCTTGATTAAAAATGGCTGCAAACTGAAATAAAATACTTTTGTAATTGTAGCTGCAACATATATTTGTCTATGTCCTTACATTAGTGTTGTTATAGTTTTGATTTTTTATTTAATTTTTGTATTATTTCAGAAGCAGATCTTTATAATCCTTAAGGAAATTGCTTGTTAGAGTGCCCATTGCACAACCACACAAGACAAAAACAGACAGTACACACAGAACCAGGTAGAACAATCTCCATAAGAATAAATAAGACATCTAGAGATAATAAATAAGTAGGTGGTTGACTATGGTGATATGTATGGTAAATACTGAAAGTGCTCTTCTGTCTAACCGTGACACTGCGAAGTTGGTGAACGGAATTGTCTGTGATCAACTGAAGTCTGGACAGCATCCTCCTCTCTGCCAGTGTCATTAGTGCCCAGCTTCTCCCCCTAGCACTGACCCAGCCTTCCTGATCAGCTTGCTAAATTTGTTGGCATCTGCCCACTTCACACTGCTGCCCCAGCACACATCATTAGAGGAGGCAGCACTGGCAACCACATACTTGTAGAAAACCCACAGCATTGTTTCAGACTTTTAAGGACCAGAGTCTCCAAAAAACAACTGCTCTGGCCCTTCTTGTAAAAGGCAGTGCAGATCCTAGTTTGCTGTTAAAGTAGACACAGGTATCTGTGGTCCTGTTCAATCTCCACTACATTCCCCCGAATGGACAGGGGAGTAATCAGAGACTGTTCTCCTGTCCAGTACGAGCTCTTTCGTCATACCAAAGTTCAGTTGTAGAACGTTTCTGTACTCCACCATATTTCCATTCTGATACAACTAGCTACTGCAGAGGCATCTGAGAATTTCTGCAGATGGCAGGACTCTGTGTTTTACTTGAAGTCTGTGATATACTGTGAAGAGTATTGGAGAAAGGACTGCCCCCTGTGGAGCTCCTGTGCTACATAGGAACTTCTTAGACACGACAATGAAGACAAACATACTGCAGCTGTCCGGTTGGTAAGTCCATGATCCATTTCACCAAGGGAGCTTACACCTTCAAGGTCGATAGCTTACTCCAAAGCAGGAGTAGCTGGATGGTATTGAAGGTGTGAGAGAAATAAAAAAAATATGATCCTCACAGTATCTCCTAGTTTGTCCAGGTTGGAGTAGGGACAGTGCAGCAGGTAGATAATAGCATCATTCACACCAATCTGGACCTGGCAGACAACATGACCAAGGACCATAGTATCTCCAGGACCAGTCTCTGGAAAGTCTTCATGCTGTGTGAGGTCAGTGCCACTGGTCTGTAATCATATGTTGGGGATGTGCCACCTTAAGCACAGAGACCAGACAGGATGCTTCCTACAGTGTTGCAACCTTCTTCAAACAGAAGCTCAAGTAAAAAGACACTCTAGAGGCACAGGTCCTGAGCACCCAGCCATGCCAAAAGGACCTGCTGCTTTTCATGGCCAGAGTCTCGATAGTCCTCTCTTCACTTAGTCCTTGGGGATGATGGGGCAATAGGTGACACAACAGGTAGGATGGGAAGGGAGGTGGGGGAAAGGGGAATCTCAGCCATGACTGTCTGAGAGTGGTGATAAGCAGATGGATGAGGCACTCATGGCTATAATAAAAGAGGGAGGATTGCAGCAGTAGCGGGAGAGGGGGGGGGCGGAGGGGGGGGGGGGGGAGGGGTTGCTGATGAGGCTAAGAAGTAGAGATGGGCGATCCACATTTTTTCAGTTCCGATCCGATTCCAATGCACAAGTGCCAATACCGATTCCGATACAAGAGCTCTTTTTACATTGTTATACTTTATATATAAATTTTTTTTAAGCTAGATGGAAAAAATGTGACAAAAAATATTTAATTAGGCTACTACAAACATACATACTGTACTGTTCCACCTCGTTTGTTTGAGGCATTTGCAGTTCAATATGAATATCTTCAAAGCAAGTATACACAAGTGGCGAATGCTAAAAATTAACACTTTTTCTCCCATTGGCATCAGCAGTTACACTTTTGTTGCGATGGCAGCCCCTCTTATATCAAGCCGCAGCGAGTTCGCAAAACAGTCCAATTAAATTAGCGACTCCCAAATCATCCATTGCTTTGTTTTGTCTCGCAGTTGCGTGCGCTTTGTTAAATGGGATTGTCCATTAAACGCTATTCACACCTTTTACATAGATTGCACATCACTGTGCTACTGGTTTCTGTTAAAATCGCATAATTCTCCCAGATCGTCACGTCTCATCTTACACTCCTCATACTACGAAGGGTATGCGCATGACGTCACAGCAGTCGGAAGTCACTGTACTCACACCCACTGAGTAGCAAAAAAGACTGGGGGGTAGCGATAGCGTTCGATTTGAATGCCGCAAAAAACACATGTAAAATGGGAAAGAGATGTCGTGCGATTGATTACCAAAAACTAAATAAGTAAGTATAGCACGTGGATCGGTCACACATGGCCAATACCCGATCTGTCAAATAGGTCTGGATCGGCGCCGATACCGAACAGAATATCGGTATCGGTGCATCACTACTAAGAAGGGTCTAATGGTTAAAGCTGTTGAAGTACAGATTAAACTTGCTGGGTCTATCTGCATTGGCCACTGTCACCTGCCTGCTGGACTAGTGGCCCGTGATGGTCTTCATACCCCTCTACACCTCACTGATGAGTTCTGCTGAGGCTCCTTTTCCTCCTTTCTCCTGTAGGTATTCTTCCCCTCACTCATCTTGACTGACAGCTCTCTCTGTACCCCTTTACCCCTTCCTTGTCACACGACCTGACTGAATACTCAGACTTACAACACAGTCAACACAGAACCTGCTATAGTGTCACACTGTCCATGAGCCCATGAATGTCATCACCATGCAGCTCACAGAAAGCTTCCCAGTCAGTTGTTTCTAAGCAGCCTTCAGGAACTGCACTACTATCCTCTGACCATCTCCTTACAGTCTTTATTGTGATTAGTTCCCTTCACACCACAGGCTTTTATTGTGGGTGGAGGTGCACTAGATTTGTAATCTGATCTTCTGAGGGGTGGAATGGCAGTGGAACTATAGGTCTCTTTCATACTGGTGTACATCAGGTCAAGTAACCACTTCTCTCTGGTGTGACAGTCCACATACTGGATGAAGGCTGGAAATGTGTTGTGCAGGGTCATGTAGTTAAAGTCCCCTGATTTCAAAATGAAGGCATCAGGATATCTCGTCTGGAGTTTTGTGATGGTCGCATGAATGACATCACACACCATCGCCACTTTTCCCAAGAGAGGAATATAAGAAATAACAACAATAGTGCATGAAAGCTCTCTGGGTAAATAATATGGATGGAGACCCACCATTATCAGCTCATTATTCAGGGTCAAGACACTTTTCTCGATTACAATGTGGCCAGGGTGACACCATTGGTTGGTAACAAAATCAGCAAGCCGCCTGCCTCTCCTCTTGCCACTTCCATGAGCAATTTCTGTCCACCCTAACACAGTGAAAGCCACATATCCACATCAGTTGAGAATAAGCTTGTGCAGCCACATCTCTTCCGTTCAAGTTTTATTGATTATAACCAAATATTGAGCTTGGTGGTAACCTGTTTGCTTAACCGGCATGAATTTAATAACTATTAGCATGATAAAATCAATAATAGTAGGGATTTTACTTTACCAATATGCATTTAAATGGAGACCTAATTAGGGCTGCACGATATATCGTTTCAGCATCGTCATCGCGATGTACGCACGTGCAATAGTCACATCGCAGGATGTGCGATGTTAAGTAACG